CCTCTAGAGGACAGACTGGAAGTGCCCCACAGGGTTTCCAAGGCTGTCATCTTTAGGAGAGTTGACTGGCAGAGAGGCTACTGCGTTCAAACTACCAGCCTTTTGGTTAGCAGCTGAGTGCTTTAACCACTGTACTCCCAGAACTCCCTCTTTAACCCAGGGAGGCTTTCAAATACAAAGTATTCGTTTTAATTTGCTGACTGCTCTCTCCCAGCTGGCGATGGGAACTGGGTTTGTTAGTAGAAACTGCTCAGTGCCCCTGCCCTCTCCTGCCTTTCAAGCGGCGCCCAGGGCACATGCCATACCCGTCATACCTTAGATACGCCTCTGATGTGAGGGAGGGCGCCTCCAGGTTAAAAAAACCGACATGCAAAATAAAAAATTCCTCTGGCTGTAACTCAACACCCACGTGAGGATCCTTTTCTGGGCTGGGCTGCCTTAATAAATGTCTTTACAGAAATAAGGTTCCACACCAGTTCCCCTTCGGGAAGGCCCCTAGAGACTTTTTTCTTTTCTTTTTGGTGTCTATTTCTGGAAGGAGCCCTGGTGGCACAGTGGTTAAAGCACTCGGCTGCTAACCAAAAGGCAGGCGGTTGGAACTCAGTAGCTGCTCTGCGGGAGAAAGATGTGGCAGTCGGCTTCCTGGGGTCGCTCTGAGTAGTAACCCACTGGATGGAAATGTTTTCCTGTTTCTTTTAAGTGGGTTTCTTGCTGGCCAAGGAGCTAAGTATGCGGCGCCCACCAGGACCCGCCCTGGCGCGGGCTGTGCCCTAGGACTGGAGGGACCCGTGGTGGGGGGAAGTAGGGAGCGTGTGCGGGAGCCCCGGGCGAAGAGGTGCCAGCGGCATGCGGGACAGTGAGGCAGAGGTGCAGACTAGGCCAGCCAGCCGTTAGGCAGTCAGCCGCGGATGGTGGGGTGGGTCCAGCGGCTCTAAAGCCAATCGTGGAGGGTGGGGCGGGTCCAGAGGCTCAGGGCGGAGCCCGCGGGCGGAGCGCAACCAGCGGCTCCGCAGCCAATCGCGGAGATTGGGGCGGGGACCAGCGCGCAGGGCGGAGCCGGAGGGCAGGGCGGGGCCAACGTTCCAGCAGCCAATCGCGGCGGCGGCGCGTCCAGGTTGGGCGGGGCTCCGCTGACAGTGGTCGCCGGCGCGGAGAGGGCGCGGGGAGCTGAATCTGCGAGCCGAGCTCGGCGCGTCTGCACAGCGCAAGCAGCGCAGGCGGCTCCCGGCCCGGCGCCTCCGCTCTCGGCGCAGCGTGTACTTTCGGCGGCGGCTACGGCTGGGCGATGCTGCAGTTCTCCTCCGGCGCCGGCGCCCTGGCCTCCTCCTAAGGTACCAGCCCTGCGCGCCCTGGCCCCGGGGGATGGCGGCGCCCGGGCGGTGCTTCGTGCGCTGCAGGCCGGGCGCTTGGCCGGGGCGCGGGCGGCGGGCGGGCTGCGCCGTGCGGCCTCGCTCCCTCTGAGGAAGAGGGAGGGGGCGCAGGGGAGCGGACCGGGAGGCGGCTCTCTCTGGTCGCAGCTGACGGCATCCCCATCCTGCCGCCTCCTGCCTCCTTGGGGCGGGAAAGACAGGTTCTTTCAGGACAAAGTTTGGCACTGAGACTAGAGGGGCGGCTGGGTGGTCCCTGGGCTCCGCGCCCTTCTGCATGGGCAGGTGGGGACCCATGCCATCTTGTCTCCAGCTATGCTCCATTCTCTGCGAAGGTAGCCCCTTCCCTGTGGAAATTCCTCTGTGGCCAGACCTTGGGGAAGGGTCTTTCTTGAGAGGAGGCATCCAGTGCTCCCCCACATAGTAACTTTTGGTTGCAAAACAGTGCAGCAGGTCGTACGGGACCCCATCCTTCCTCCCAGAATGGGGTCTTCCAAGGTTCATGCACTAAGAGCTTCAAATACTGCAATCAGCCTCACGTTCTCATTAAAGATCCCCAAACACCCATGTGGCAATTATTGCTTCCCTTAAATGTTTAATATTATCATTGCCTCGTGCTTCCAATTGGTTTTCCCTGGGCGCTGAGGTGCCCAGCTCTCACGGGGAACAGTAAATACAGGACATGTGTTCCCACTTGAAGCTTGAGGCAGGGTCAGCCCTCAGGACAAGATAGACCAGGTGGGGCCTGTTTGCTTTGGGAACCTCCACCAATACAGAGAAATGGTGATTGGACAGACGTTCAGCAGCTCACAGGTGCACATCTGGTGTAAAGTAATTCCGGGTGGAGAAGGGAGGATGTAGACAGCACGTGGACTTGGTGAATGTCAGCAATTAAATGTGCTTAATTCTGATCTGTCTGACACCTTTCTGATCACATGTGGATTCTCATATCCACTTGATTCTTCTGATACTTACACTCACTCCTGTCGTAGGACAGCTATCATGTCCTTGAAATACCCTTAGCCGATGACATCGACATCTCGTTCTGGTCCACGTAATTTACCTCACACCAGGTAAAAACCTGGCTGTAGGAATATTTAGTTAGGGATAACGCAGTGTTGTTATTGTTAGGTACTAAAATGTTGATTTTTTTTTTTTTTTTTTTAAACTCCTAACGGCCCCATGTGACAGAAGGGGACTGTCCCATGGGATCTTTCAGGCTGTCGTCTTTGCAAAAACAGACGGCCAGGTCTTTCTATGGAGTGGCTGGTGAGTTCCATTGCTAATCTCTTGGCAAGCAGCCAAGCACTGTTTGTTCACCAGGGCTCCTTGGCCCTGTTGATGAAACACCCTACAGTCCTTGAGTTGATTCCAACTCAGTGACCCCACGAGACACAGTAGAACTGCCCCATAGATTTTCTAGGCTGTCACCTCTATAGGAGCAGTTGGCCAGACTGTTCTCCTATGAAGTTGCTGGTGGGTTTGAACCTATAACCTTTCAGTTAGCAGCCGAGTTAGAAGTGTTTAACTATTTGGCCACCAGGGGTCTGTGCCAGACTCAGCACTAAGTATGTTATATGGGTAACTCTTTTCATTTTCATGAGGTATTCTTCTCATTTTACAGTTTAAAGGCAATATGTGAGTTTTACAAGGTTGCCTGGCAAATGAGCACTCACGTTGGGTGCTGTCATGTCAATTCTGACTCTTAGCAATGCCATGGGGAGCTCTGGTAGCGTAGTGCGTAAGGCACTTGACTGCTAACCAGAAGGCTGGTGGTTCAAACCCACCAGCCACTCCTCGGAAGGAAGGTTGGGCAATCTACTTCTATAGTGATACCATCTCAGAAACCCAAGGAGCGGTCGCTATGAGTCGGGTCAGACTCGACAGCACATAACAACAATAACAACAACAGCAATGACATATGACAGAGTAGAATTGCCCCATAAAAGTTTCCTAGATGTCGTCTTTGTGGGAGATCACCAAGTCTTTTGCCCACAGAGCAGCTGAATGGGTTTGAACTGACAACCTTTTGATTAACAGCTGAACAATTAACCATCGTGCCACCAGGGCTCCCTCAGTGAGGGATAGAGGTGGGATTTGAACCCAGATCGGTTTTCCTCACTGCCCCTGCTCTTTACTGCTGTGCTATGCTGTCTCAGCCCTCCTCAAGAGAAACATTTTCTACTACAGTAGAGAAACCACACATGGCAACATACGCTGTCCCTGGTGGTCATCAGCTCCACCCTCTGGGAACCTGTCACTGTATGCCCATGTACAGCAGGTGTTCCCTTCACCTGTGGGACCCCCAGACCCCTCAACTTCTTAGCATGTGCATCAGCTGGAAGTCCCCAGACACCCGAATGCTCTTTGCCCTTTAGCATAAGGTCCTTGCCCTTGCAGTAGGGTAGCACAGATGGGGGGTAACGGGAAAGAGATGACCACGTGGTTCCATTACTGGCCATTAGGGAGCAGTGTCTGCTCTCACAGTCAGGATCGGGTTTAGCTCTGCACACACACGTACCCCACCAGTCGGCAGCAACACGTACCCCGCAGTCTGCACACGGGCTCATTTGTCCCCCTGTACCAACTGTTAGAGGGTCTCTAACACAGGCTGACCTACGCAGGAAGAACACTGAGATGAAGTCACTGGAGGAGGTGTGCAGCTGTGGCATCCCTGAAGTCTGCACTGCCAACCAGACAGGAAAGGAGCCCTGGTGGCATGGTGGTAAAGGCATTCACCGCTGACCAAAAGCTGGATGTTCAGATCCACTAGCCACTCTGTGGGAGAAAGATGAGGCAGCCTTGGAAACCCTCTGGTGCAGTTCCACTCTGTCCTCTAGGGGCACTGTGGGTCAGAATGGACTCCACGGCAGTGGGTGTGGTTTGGGCTTTGCTTCTGTGAAGACTGACAGCCTTGGAGACC